ATTTCATTTGGTGTCCTCTAGTCCTTCTATTATGGGAACTAATGAAGAACTGTTCTTTATGCACCCTCTCCACACTCATGATTTTATAGACCTCAGTCATATCCCCCCTCAGTCTCCTCTTTTCTAAGCTGAAAAGTCCCAGTCTCTTTAGCCTCTCTTCATATGGGACCTGTTCCAAACCCCTGATCATTTTAGTTGCCCTTTTCTTAACCCTTTCCAAGGCCAAAACATCTTTTTTGAGGTGATGAGACCACGTCTGTACATTGCACTGAAGATATGGCGTATCATAGTTTTATACTTCCCCTCCTCCTTCTTCCCCTGGCTTCCCCCTTCCAGCTTCCTCCTCCCAGCTTTCCCCCTCCCCTCTCCCACCCTCTCTCTTCCTCTCTCCCATCTCCTTTTCCCAGTCTCCCCAGAGGTTAATCCCCCACCCCTCCAGTTTTGTTAAATAGAGTTTTCCTATATTTCTTGCAGGAAACTTGGAAATGAAACTATTTTTCTCTCTCTCCCTCCAATTGGGAATCTGACTGACTTCCTTGCTTTCTTTCATCTCCCACCATTTCACTGTCTTACCTGACACCTTACTCTTGATGCCCTAAATATTCTCCTTGAAGAAGCCTGTGAAGCATTTCCTCCCCAGATGGCAGCCTGCGACAAGTGCAGCCAGGCTGATGGCCGAGTGCTGTGATGTGCCGAGTGTGGGCATTCAGGGCACTCCAAGCCAGGACTGCTTTGCTGTCCCTCATCAAGGTAGACAAGCGAGCGGGGAACCCTGAGAACTATATGTTTGGGGTGGGGGTCAGGTCCCTTTAAGCACAGCCCTCGGCTAGCCTGAGACAGCAGCTCCACGCTCTAAGTCCTAATCTGATGCCCTGCCGGCACTGCTTCCAACCATCCTTAACCTCGGTTCAGGGTCCACTAAATGTGGACATGCTAGTTGGAATTAGCAAAACGCTAATTCGAACTAATTCAAATTAAGTTAGTTCAAATTAGTGCTGTAGTGTAGACATACCTTTATTTACTGGAGAACAAGCGGGTTTTCAAAAGGGTCACTCTATTTCAGAACTCTTTTTTTTTTTCTTATTTGATTCACAAATATGTGAATCATTAAGAGGAGAATATTGTATGTGGCTCTTTGAGTCTATTGACAGCGATCATCTGGTGGGCCAATTGGAGATTGCTAGAATAGATACCTAATTACTTTTTCTTTTAAGGGCTCTTTTCAGACAATGACTAAGATAGGGATAGGCCTCTGGAGAACTAAGGGTATGTCTACACTAGCTCGGTAGTTCGAGCTAGGTAGGCAAATGAGGGCAACCCGAGTTGCAAATGAAGCCCGGGATTTAAATATCCTGGGCTTCATTTGCATCTTCCCGGGTGCTGCCATTTTTAAATACCCCTTAGTCCGAACTCTGTGCCCGCGGCCACATGCGGCACGGAGTAGGTAGTTTGAATTAGGATCTCTAATTTGAACTACCAGTACACCTCGTTCCACGTGTGGGCATGGAGTTCAGACTAAGGGGGATTTAAAAATGGCGGAGCCCGGGAAGATGCAAATGAAGCCCAGGATATTTAAATCCCGGGCTTCATTTGCAACTCGGGTTGCCCTCATTTGCCTACCTAGCTCGAACTACCGAGCTAGTGTAGACATACCCTTAGTTCTCCAGAGGCCTATCCCTATCTTAGTCATTGTCTGAAAAGAGCCCTTAAAAGAAAAAGTAATTAGGTATCTATTCTCCAGTTACAAAGAAGCCTTAACATGGCTGTCTTTCAGGTCCTTTTCTTCTCAATTTTTATATTGATGATTTTGTTCTAGCATTAAAAGAGGCTCAGTATTTCCACCCCTAAAATTATGGCTCACATTGTGACTATTTTATATGCAAATATAGTTTTACTATAATAGATTCCTTGGTGATTGAAGTGCTCTTAAAATGTGTTTGCTTTATACTCACAATGGTGGATCTTTTGATAAATTAAAAAAACAACAACAAGTAGTGTGGTAGCACTTTATAGACTAATGAAACATGTAGTGGCACAGCCCACTTCTTCTGATAGCTCGTGATACCATCTACATGTTTCATTAGTCTGTACAGAAAAACACAACAAATGGTCTGGTAGCACTTTATAGACTAACTCGGCTACTCCCTGAAGCTTGATAAATTAAATTATTCCAAAATTAAAGTAATTTTCTTTAGTTGGAGATGGAGGCTGCATAAATGTAACATTGATAGACATTATATTGATCAAGTTAGATCTTGCTCTTATCTAGTATCTGGTTCTCACAAAATGTCTTGTGGGATGAGCATATTCAGGTAACAAAAGAGAAAGTCTCAGATTCACTGCAAGTTCTGTTACATTTTATCTGGACTTCTGGGGTCAGTATAAGTGCACCAGCCCTTGGAGTTTTAAAGTATAAACTCAAATTTTGTATGGCACAGAAATGTGGAAGTAGAATGAGTCTCTGAGACTAGAAAGAAATTTGCATAAAATCATTAAGTTTCATGCTCTGTGAAATAATACTGCAGTCAGTCTCCTTAGACCTGAACTCTATTCTATCCAAATTCCTAAACTGTAGTAGTATTTTTTTTGATTTGCATAGGAAACTCAGAGCATTTGCCATGGTTATGCTTAGAGGAACAGCTCAGCAGGAGTCTGTTACATATATTTCCTTGATTAGAACATATTCAAAATGCTTTGCACTCTCTAGGTTTCTCAAAATTAGAAATGATTAGATTTAAGTTTTTAAAAGATGAAATCCCTGATCAAGTTGAGAATAGAGGATATTAATAAGCAGTTGGGAGTGGCAATTGTTTCTATTTCAGATGTCACTGTAGTTTCCCCCGTTAAAAGACTTATGGGTATGCCAGATATTTAGAAAGTCTGTGTAATAACATGGTAAGAAAGGCCTTCTCAGCACTCTCTATTATTTATTCATGCAGACAGCTTATTTAGAATGATATGATGCTGGCATTGGGAAGTGTAATCGCCTTTGAACATGCGTCTTAAGGCAGATGGAAGATCTATCCCATCATTTATTAGGGTGCATCTACACTGCAGGGCTTAACTCGAAATAAGCTATGCAAATTGAGCTACGTCAATTGCATATCTTATTTTGAAATAGCAAGCATCTACACAGCACTTATTTCGAAATAGAGCATGCTTCCTTGGACTTCCCTTAATTCCTTGCACAATGAGGGTTACAGGAGTCTGTGTAAGAAGTCCTCCAGACACTATTTCAAAGTAACTGCCTTCTGTGTAGATGGGGACTATGTTATTTTGAAATAGCGCTAGTTACTTCAAAATAGTTTTGCAGTGTAGACGTACCCTTACATTGTATTTTGGATTGCCACTTGAGGTCAAAATGTTTTCCTGTATTTTAGTCCTGAATGGCTTGTTCTATGACCTCTCACAAATAAAATATGTATTAGGAACTGATGATTTATTTGTGATACAAGTGGTTGCCCTGTTTGCATGGTCCACCACTAAAATAAGAAAAAGGCAAGTGGCATGTTGATCATATGTGCATTAATGTATTGATGAGTATTGTAGTTTATTATAGCTTTGGATTTAACTGTATTATTGTGCTACTTTTTTTCTGCATTGGTCCAAGGCCAGGGTGCCATTAATAAACTACTATGGATTGTAATGTATAATAAATCTTGGATTTATTCGTGCATGTGGACCTGGGGGCAAAATAGGACCATGCTGATTCTCCTCCACTTCTTACTGATAGAGTATGATGTCCTTAGTGAAAAGATTAACTTGAGTTTGACAATGAGAAGAAAAAGTGAAGCATTGCAGTTACATGTCTAATATATGAGTTGGTTTATTTATTAACTGTTCTTTTTTTTTTTTAAGTACAGCTAGTTTATTCTAACCTGCAGTCATAAAGAATCATAGAACGTTAATTTCTTATGGTAATAATTTGGTAAACATCAGGTTTTAGCTCTTAGCTGTGAAGCTGAATAAGACTATCTTGAAAGTTATTTGAAAGCTATGAGTGCCAATTTTTAAACTTATAAAATCCATTTGGGTGTGAAGGCTATTGGAAACAGCCATCCCTTTAAGAACACATTACATTTAGTATTTGTGCATTTAAATTATTTGATTAAAATGAATGCTTTGTAATAAGGAAAGAATGTTCATTAACTCTGTGCCTCTGCTGTAGTAATTCAGGAAACAAGAAGTATGTCTCAAAACTATTGTGGATTAAAACAGTTAAAGAAGAGGACTTCAATTCTAACTATACCTGCCTCTTGAAAACTCCAAATAAATCACGGGTTAAAAATTTTACATTGAAGAAAGGTAAAGTATTATATAAGACCCTTACTTCTGAAGTTTAATGATTTACAAATAACATATGTAGGCATTAAATAATTGGATTTTTATTGGTAAATGTCAGTTTCACTATACACAGACAAACTGATGACAGGCTATTTCATCAATAATAATCAAAATAGAGGATGATGAGTAAAAATAGTAGAGAGAAAATAACAGTTTGAAATCAGTGCCAGTTCAGAAATGACTGTTACTCATTTGCTTATTTAAAATCTTATCTTGAATTTACACACATGCACACACAACCAGTATGACAAGCAAGAAAGAGAGAAAGAAAGATGTCTAAAAGGAACTCTTGATAAAAACAGGTGAGGGTATCTTGGGCGCACAGACATATTTGTGTTAGAGAAGAAACAGGCGACCCAGGAGCGGATGGGGTAAACGGAACCACTTTATTGCCTATGCACGTTTACTTCAGACATTCAACACAATGTCCGAGTGGCAACAACCTGGCATTAGGCAAACCCTTTTATCTATTTTAGTATGTTAATTCACATGTCTATCACTACTTTTCCTAGAGCTTTATTTAGTAATGTTAATTCCCATAAAAATGAATATTAAGCAAATAATGAATGCAATTATACCCACCCTTAATTACTATTTACAGAATTTCTAATTAAATCAACATATTTTTATGCTACAAACTAAAAGGTTACAGAGATTACAAGGATTTTAACCCTGAAGAGATTTATACAGTACCAATGAGGATAAGCAAAAGACACAACAAACTAGAGCAGCTGCATACTTATCTGCTTTCCTAGGCTGCAAAGTGAAGGGGAAAAGCATGTTTAAGCATAATGCTGTGACTGAACTCTGAACCACTAATGCAACAAGGCCATTCCAGACCCCTATAAATTGTACTCTCCCCCCTCCCCCAACAATATGGACAGTTTGGGATGATATGCAATTCAGAGTGAAAGTCATTTCACGCAGCCACAACTCAGTTAATTGGGCTTTGTGGGTGAGGGGAGGGTCTGAGGAGGTAAAATACATTTCCTGATATGGTGCTGGAGCAGGGTGGCACCCTGCAGAGTAAACTTTGAAAGCTTGGTACTGTGTTTCATTCCCTAGTTCAATACAAACTGATTCATGACCATATGAGATGTTACCAGGAAATGATTCACATTGAAAGTTGAATTCTCTAGTCCTAGCCGTAAGATAATGATTTTTACTAAGAACCAGGGGATAGGTAGACCCGACTCTTCCCCCAGCTCCTGGGGATAGGAAGATTAGCAGCTGTGCCAGCCCCTGCCTATCTGTATCCCCTCCTCAGCTACCAGGGAGAGGAGAGCTGGGGCTGCATCAGCGCTGGCCTCTTGCCCCCCCTGATCACTGGGGAGAGGAGGGCTAATAACTGCCACAGCCCCAGCCTGGCCATCAGGGAAGGGAGGGCTGGGGCACCCTGCCTGCTGCCATTCCCCTGCCACTGGAGCTGGGCCAGTCTCAGCTTCTGGGCTCCCCTCTCCACTCTCTGGCTGTCAGGGCCACAGCCAGCCCATGCCTCTCGGGGGCCTCCCTCCCCCCCCCCCCCTCTGGTCACAGCCATGGCTTTTT